AACAAACCATCTCGGACCACCAGCGGCTGACCCTGATGGCCTGGGAGCCTATTTGCTGACCCCTGAAATTATAGGGTCGGCTTATGAACGGGTTATAAAAATTTTCCATTTTTACTTATCCATCTTGGGGGGGGGGGAAGGTCAGCTTATAAATGAACCGGCTTATGATCGAGTATCTATGGTACTTCAGGCTATTTCTCCAGTTTGTCCAGATCATTTTGAATTTTAATCCTATCCTCCAAAACACTTGCAACCCCTCCAAGTTTGATATTGTCCACAAACTTTAAGTGTACTCTCTATGCCATTGTCTAAATGATTGATGAAGCTAACGAACAGAACTGGATACAGGACGAAGCCCTTCAGGACCCATTCAATGTGCCCTTCCAGCTTGTCTGTGAACCACTGATAACTACTCTCTGGGAATGGTTTTCCAACCAGTTATGCACTCGCCACATCATGGCTCCCTCTAGGTTGTATTTCCCTAGCTGGTTTAGGACAGACATGGGCAAACTACGTCCCGGGGGCCACATCCGGCCCGCGGGACCGTCCTGCCCAGCCCCTGAGCTCCCAGACGGAAAGCCTAGTCCCCGGCCCCTCCCCCGCTGTCCCCCCTTTCCCACAGCCACGCAGGCTGCGCTCCGGCCCGCTGCTCCCACTGGGGAGCGCAGCTGGCTGTGGCCGGGTGTCACGGCTGCGAGCTCCTGCTGCTGGTGGGGGGATCTTGGGGAGCAGTCAGGGAGGAGGGGGTGGTCAGGGGATGGGGAACAGGGAGGATTGGGGAGTGGGAGTCCCGGGGGCAGGGATGTGGATAGGGGTTGGGAGGGCAGTCAGGGGACAGGGAGCAGGGGGGGCGTTGGATAAGGGGGTGGGATCCTGGGGGCCAGTTAGGGGCAGAGGGTTCCGGGGAGTGGTCAGGGGACGAGGAGCATAGGGCGGGTAGATGGGGGTGGAGTCCTGGGGCGGCTGTCCGAGGGGTGGGGATAGGGGTTGGGACAGTCAGGGGGACAGGGGAACAGGGGGGTTGGATGGGGGCGGGTGTCCCGGGCGGTCAGGGGACAAGGAGCAGGGGCTCTTTGGATGGGTTGGGGATTCTGAGGGGGAGGGATAGTGGGTGGGGGCCAGGCCATTTGGGGAGGCACAGCCTTCCCTACCCGGCCCTCCATACAGTTGCGCAACCTTGATGTGGCCCTCGGGCCAAAAAGTTTGCCCACCCCTCGTTTAGGAGAAGGTCATGCGAGACAGTATCAAAACCTTACTAAAGTCAAAATATTCCACCTCTACCACCTCCCCCTGCTACCCACAAGGCTTGTTACCCTGTCAAAGAAAGCTATTAGGTTGGTTTGACAGGATTTATTCTTATCACCTTATTATCTTCTAGGTGTTTGCAAATTGATTGCTTATCTTTCCAGGTACTGAAATTAAGATGGCCTCTCCAGTGTGTATAGGAGAGATTAGGGTTACACTTTTCTCTGAGCAAAGCTTGTATCCCACCATGTCTTCCAGAGAAGTTTGAAGCTCCATCAAATGCTTGTGTCTTCTGTTTGGGGTCCAGTTTACAAGCGTTTAATTCTAAGATGGGGGTTGTCACAGATGCAGCCGATGTGTCTACTGTAACATGAACATCTAGAAATGCATCTCCTGGCCTACCACTGACATCAAGATAACGTATGCAGTGACTTAACACTTGATGCCCATTTGCATCGGGGCATTCATCAGCCATGTATGCAGATTTTTTTGAATGTGGTGAGAGAGTTCTTCACAGTTTCAACTGTTGAGTCTTTCACTGTTGCAGTGCATGCTTCTAACCAGTCAGTTGAGTTTCTTGCAGAAAGATAGTGAGCATTTGCTGGTCTTGTTCGGAACCAGTGTCCAACTTCAGGGTTAACCAGTGACAATGCACTTAACTTTGGCCTCCTGTTTGTAGTGTGAGGTATCTCTTGCTTAAGTGAAAGTATGATGCAACAGCCATGTTTGTTCGCATAAACTATGTTGAGTCTAGCATTCTTAACAGCCTCATTAAGTACTTCTAAAATTGGCTTTGACAGTGACTGGCTTATAAGACTTGCTGCATATTGCTGCAGTCCAGAGGCTTGGTGTTTTGCAGCATTTTCACATAGTTTGTCAGCACTGGCTTTGCTGATCCATCTGGCAAACCAAGCTCCTCTAGTTGTACCAATTGAAGCAGTGAGAAGCTTTCCTGCTTTGTAAGCTTTTTTTCCAAGAGGTGTACCAGTAGTCACCTTTTCTAACATAAATGAATGGAAAAAGTTTGACCAACAAACATCAGGAACTGCCTTTAGGTTTTGGAGACCTATTTCTTCAGTAGGTAGCTGAAGTTCAGGCTGTTCAGTTGTAGATACACAGGGGCGGCTCCAGGCACCAGCGCATCAAGCGCGTGCCTGGGGTGGCAAGCCGGTCGCTGTGGGGGCGGCAGTCAGGGAGCCTTTGGCGGCGCGCCTGCAGGAGGTCTGCCGGTCCAGCGGTAATTCGGCGGCGAGTATGCCAAAACCGTAGGACTAGCGGACCTCCTGCAGGCATGCCGCCGAAAGCTGCCTGACTGCCGTGCTTGGGGCGGCAAAATACATAGAGTAGCCCCTGTAGATACACCACTTGAATCTTCAGATGACATGTTGGTATGTCTTCATCTTTGTTGGTTTGACCGGGGTGGGGTGGGGGAGAGAACTAGTAGGGGGGTTGTAGAGGTAACAATCACGGTATCCCAATTCTCAAGTTCATCAGAGATCTCCCTGCAGTGTCCAGTCCCCTTCAGTGGACACTCAGAAATTGTTAGGTTTGCTGTCTCCAAAGAGACAGAGCGCACAGCATCCTGTTAGGGTAGCTGAAGACTCATGCTTGACTTCCATATACTGCCCTGAGATGGTTTTGTAATAAAACAAGAATAAGTTTATTAACAAAGACGGGATATTTGTGATACTAAATGAGAGAGAGGCAGGTATGGTTACAGACAAAACAAAATAAATCCCACTTTCTAGTAACTAATCTTCGCACGTTGTAATCTTTGCATAAGCAATTTCCTTACACCAAGTTACCAGCATCTCCACGCCCGGGGATCCACCTACGCAGAATCAAAGGGTGCTGTTCCCTTTGTTCCCCTTATATTACCTAAAATCCATTGTCTGTCTCGAGCCAGGAAGGATTCCTGGGGTGCAGACTCTGCCCCCTGGTGTGCTCACTAAACTGCTGCTTGATAGCTTTGTTTATTGTGTATATATAAATATATTTTCATTGTCCTCTGCCAGTAATCAAGACAGTCAGACAGCTAAATACACATTCCTTTGTTTAGGGCAGGTGGGTTTATGCACTGCCTCCCAAACACATTTTAAGAACATATTTCCAGCACACACACAACTCTTTGTGCACAACCTGTATATACATCACAAAAGGATTTTCAGGACCACATGTGTCACCAGTTATGATATCTGATGTGACACTTTTTAGATAGAAATTACAATAACAGTGTGTTGGGGGAATGTGTGATAGTTATAGTATGGTGGGCCCTCTGCCAGTTGGCATTGAAGGGCTCTTAATCTGAAAGCTTGTGCTGAGTTGTAGTAAACTAGTATTGAGTGCTCCAGTCTTCCATGTGACACTTCCAAACATGGTACCCTTTTTCATTTGTTCTGGAAAGGAATTTGGTTCTATCCCCTCCCACACTATGGTGATGGGGATCATACAAATAAGTAGGCAGATCTTTCTTGTGGGAGATAATAGGTTATACTCCTAGGATAAATTTGATCCTGAATGTAACTATTTGGTGAGCGCAAACTACCAATCTTAATCTTAGTTCAGTCTGCTGGTAGCACTCTAGTGCGTACATTTTGCTCCCCAGGAGTGCAATGGATGGGCTTTGAAGGGAGATTTCAGACCCCTTTATAGGTGCAAGGATGGCGACTAGTGATGCAACGAGGAGTGGATGCTAATTTAGATTCTCAATCTAGGATGTGGAGTACTTCAGGACAAATGGGTTTGAGGAAGAAGTTTCCTGTTTCCCTTTGGGGCAAAATTGAAGCTTCCTTCTAAATGGAAAAAGTTTCACTACTTAAAGGAGTATAAAGTATTCCTGAAGGTGTCAGCTTTAAATTACATTTGTTTTGATTGATTTTTAAATGATTTATTGGAGGTCTTGCAAATAAATTTATTTTTTAAAAGATACATATTAAGCCTCAAGGGTTATTTATATTACATACCCAATTCAACAATAGTCTGATATATTTTTACAAAAAGCCACTTCAGTTTTAAAAACGACCTGGTTAGATGTTTGAAAACCACTCTATCCTTCAGGAGGGACCATATTTTGAAGGAAATAAAAAAAAAAAAATCTGTATCTTTCTGCTAAGCTTGTCTCCTTAGTGAAAATTTAAGCCAGACAAGTCCCAGGTTGCTTAAACCTATTGTTACTTCGAAAATTGCCAACTGATGTGTAGGATGCGCTTCTGTTCTCTGCCATGAGTTTTAAGACAAAAATACATTGGCTTCCAGTTAATGTAGTCCACTCTGCTGTTATCCAGTGATATGTAATCTGTATTCTACATATAAAAGAGGACCCAGTGCATTAAAACAAAGCATGAGCTGGCTCTAGCAGCAGCTCATGTTCAGTGTATGAATTTTGAGCACTTATTGTACAAACCTATTGCTGTAAACTTTCTTTATTGCTTTCCAAGTAATGTGCATTGGTCTTCCTCTCGCCCCCCCCTCCCCCCCACAGGCATTCCACAGGAAGTGCTGCACTGTTTTAGGCTTATGTTAAAGCCGCTCCAATATTCTTACCAACAGTTTGTTTCAAAGTAAACTATACAATGCTCTTCTCATTACAGCCTCTAAACACCAGGATCCAGTCCAGACAGTGTGTGTGTGTGTGTGTGTGTGTGTGTGTGTGTGTGTGTAAAACCAAATGGGCAAAAAAGGCTTTCATTCAATAACCTGCTTGATTTGCTAGCCTAGAAACAAGATTTAAGAAGCATCTCTTTCCTTTTCAACAGGGTGAATCGGTGAAATACTTCCTGGATAACCTGGATCGGATTGGCCAGCTGGTGAGATGTAACTATTTATAGTCCACAGGGGTAAAGTTAGGAAGGGCATTCTTGCAGATGCTTGAATATGCCTGGTTTAAAACTAGTAAACATAAGTTCCAAATAGTTTAATCAAGAAAACAGCACCCCCCTGAAGTGTGTTAAATTATACAATGCTCTTGATATGTTTGACTATTTTACTAAGCCTTTGTATTGACAAATAAACAGGAATACAATGAAAAGTTACATGAACAAAAACAAAAATCCACATCTTCTCTTCTGTCTCCTCTCTCGCTATCTTTGGACCACATCCACTTCCTATGCTGATCTATTCACGATTCCCCTGTGCAGCAGTGTGAATTTTACAAGAAATTGTCCATTGAGCTCCTACCACCTGTAAGGGCCACAGTAATGGGGAAAACAGCTTGGGTTCTTGCAAAAGGTCTAACGGGGAGAAAAGGTGAGATGAGGATGTACTACTGCTCATCTTCCTGAGCATAGAGAAAGACAGAAGAATTTCATCCATTTCACTGTTGTACCTATAGGTAGCAGTGAGACTGGCCAGTACTTACAACAGAATTAAACTTGTGGTAGTGGTCAGCACATACCTACTGTGGAAGGATGCTGTCACTAAAGCTTGCAAGATGTTATTGTTATTGTAAATGTATTAAGCTTTTTAAAAAACAGGTTTAAAAGATAATTTCAATGACATTATGGAGACTTGCATTCATGAACACAAATTAATAGTTTCATGGGCAAGAATATCCTAATGGTAAAGTAGTTTCCAATCTGGAAAGGAAGAATTGAATTTAAATATGCAGAAGGGATGAGACTTTGAAGGAAAGTACTGGACCTATACATAAACTTTCACATGCTCCATCACGTTCCTCCATCTTTCAACAGCAAATTTTCAATGTACAATCCATTGGTCGACAAGTCCAATAATTTTGATCTTGTATAGTAAGTCCTTCGCCTTGGTCACTCAGTATCGGATGTCACCTAGAGCTCCTAGAACTGGAACATTCTAGCTCCCCACAGCTATCATTACATTGAGATATGATAAATTTTGTTTTTAAAATGCCAGCTGATGCATATTTTAAAAGGAAGATCTGAGGCAATTTGACACTATTCTCCTTTCTCTTACAGAATTATTTCCCCAGCAAACAAGATATTTTGTTGGCCAGAAAAGCCACCAAGGGAATCGTAGAGCATGACTTCATCATTAAAAAAATCCCTTTCAAGATGGTGGATGTGGGTGGACAGAGGTCTCAGCGTCAGAAGTGGTTCCAGTGCTTTGATGGGATAACTTCTATTTTGTTCATGGTTTCCTCCAGTGAATATGACCAGGTTCTCATGGAAGACAGACGCACAAACAGACTGGTGGAGTCCATGAACATCTTTGAGACAATAGTCAATAACAAGCTCTTCTTTAATGTTTCTATCATCCTATTCCTGAACAAAATGGATCTCCTTGTAGAGAAGGTAAAGACAGTCAGCATTAAGAAGTATTTCTCAGACTTCAAGGGTGATCCTCACAGGCTAGAAGATGTTCAGCGTTACTTGGTGCAGTGTTTTGACAGAAAGCGGCGGAACCGCAGTAAGCCACTCTTCCATCATTTCACAACTGCCATAGACACTGAAAATATCCGCTTTGTGTTTCATGCAGTAAAGGACACAATTCTTCAAGAGAATCTGAAGGATATTATGTTGCAGTGAAGAAGAGCACCCCTTGTCTTGTTGAAATCTACCTGGGGTTATAAGTCAAAGCTTTTATTTTATCTTTATGGCTCTTGCATGTGGTTTTAGGACCCATGCTATTCACTTGGCTCAGGAATGCTGAAACTAGCCAGTCATGGAGGCAGAAGGAGTCCAACATTGATGTTAGCTACTGAATCATTTGGAAGAGTAACACTACTGAAAAAAGTGGCCGTTGTAGGGTTTGACACCTAGTTTGGAATGTTGAATAACACAATCACCTTCCTATCTTAGAAAAATCTAACTCTGACAAACTATGTAAGGAAGACTTTTAATGAAAACTGTTGTTTTGCAAGGACAGTAACTGTGCAGACTGCCTTTCTCTGTAGTTTGGAGGTGCTGAGTTAACCAGTCAAACTAATGTAAATTATAATGAGGTTGGTAGTTGTACTAGAGAATAAATGGCAATATATTAATCACAACTCCACATGTAATCTTTAAATATGTAACCAGATCTTGCTTGCATGTGCAGTGTTTGCCAAGGATCTGGAGTCCACTTATCAGTGTGGATGCACAACTCTTGTCTGACGGTCTTGCATCAGTCTCTTGAGACACGCAAGTCTAGGACTATAAATGAAATGCAGTAGAACTATAAATGAAACCTACCAGGCTATGTGAGTCATCTGTCCTGCCATTCCGAAGTCAAATGGAGGAGAAAATTAAGGCCTGGCTGATGTGGACAATATTTTGTTTTGCACTACATATACAGTGTCTTACATCATGGGAAACTGACTTCCACAGTAATACAGCTTGAGGCACGTACTAGAACATCTGACCACATATCTGCACATAGTGGCTGCTCTAGTGAGGTGTCATTTACGGAAATTCATCACTGTTCTCACACCTGCAGTTGGCAGTATTTGTAAAGCTCCAGTCTCTCAAATAACAGGGCTTTATCTGTCTCCAAATGTGTGGAAGCTGATTAAACTTTTTAGCAAAATTTTTGGTGATAGAGCAGCTGCTTGATTAGTTCCTAACAGCTGACCTTACACTTCTTACACAAGAAGAGCCAGCACTCTTGAGATCCCAATTTTACAGCTGCACTGATACGTTCGGACAGCAGGACCCTGCTGTAAACTAGCCCATTTTTAATCTTTTTCTTAATGGGATCTTTAGCGTATATTAATTTATATATAGTATGAGTAAACTGTCAAAATTAGTTGCCCATTTCGGGCAATGGTGTACACGTGTGAAATTGCAAGAGGCTGTGAATAATGTTGATGTGAACTGTTGACTTTCTAGCTCTCTAAACTTACGTAGTTAACTATCAGGTGCCTTTCTTTGTGTACAGATAATTCCAACTATGTCTACTACAATGAGGTACATAAACAAAATTTAAGATCTGCCTTTTATTTCAATGCTGTAGTGTCTCTCTTTTTTTTGTTTTTTCCTTCCCAGGGAACTTTCAAACACAAATGTTTACTGTGCAGTTGGTACCATAGTTTGATTTTATTTAAAAAAAAAAAAATCAGAAGGGCTTTCTCTAGCTAGACCAAGTCAATAGAATCTCTGTATTTCTTGTCCCCTTTAAAACTATAATGACATGTCAAAAAAGGAACACTTCAGCATTTAATCCATGAGAAATGCTGATCTAAAAAGAACCCTGCTCGGGAGTTTTCACGTGTTTAACTTGGATAAAATCTAGAATCCTTCCTTTTGTGGCTTGCAGAAGTTCATTTCTCTGTGTGTGGTATACGCAGCTTCCTAATGCAGAAATCTGCTGCCCTTGTAGCTTTCTTTGTGCTGGCTTCAGGAGTGAAAAGGATGTGGTTGTGTTCTAGTTTTATATAATGCATATAAAATGTTTGAAGTAAACCAGTAAGGAGCTGCAGACAGAAAAATCTATTTATTTTAAAATTACACTTCCACTAGTTCTCAAATGTAAACAGTAGTTAATTGCCTAGTTAGAAAAGTCTTACTCACCAGGGACCAATTTTACTTTTAGTGATTTTTTTTAAATATAAAAAGGAAAATATCAAATCACCCCGTCTTGAATGTTCTGCATTGTTACAGATGAGGATTCTGTTATGGTAATTGCATTTGGAAAGGTAAATGTTTCAACATGAGGTGTTACAAAGAGTAGCTTAGGGGTCTAGTGGAATGTATTTCTTCTGAGCATGTCTCTTTATTTGGTTAAACGAGATCTAAAGTGTTAACTCTTCATTACTTAAGCATTCAAATATTGTATTTAGACTTTGCAGTAGTTTCTACTCAACAGAAAACTTTAGCACTATAGCAGGGCAACTCAAACTGCCTAACTTCCCAGTTGATTCTTTGTGTACTTCATTATTTTACCGAGTGTTCTATTTGGAATAATGTTCTGCCCATTTAACTCTTGAGAAAACATTCCCTTTTTAGAACCAGATATTATTGAAAAGCTGCTTCAGTTTTACATATGAAGTCTGCCGTAGCTTTAACTGCAATACTGGAGCATGAAACTACTCTTCTTTTTAATGCAAATTTAAGGTCTTGTATCCTTGGTCATCTTACTGATTTGTAGAAGAACTAAGCTAATAAATGTGGTGTTCTCAAAGCAACTCTCACTGTTACAGTTGCACCCTGAAAAGTAGCATCATGCGTTTCCATGTTTAATATCAACAACTCTTAACAAGTTTCATTTTTTTGTAATAGTGGTAAAACTACCAGTTCTTCTGGCATGCTGGGGCTGCTTCGTACCACAAAGTTGGCCTGTTAAGGCCCCAGGAAGAAGGTGGGGACATAGGGCTGCATGACCATGATGCCTCTAGACTGCATCAATCCGCAGGTGCTATCTTGTCTCCTTTGGGCCATTAGGTGTAAGAGCAGCCTAGCTTTGGTCTGGTACCGTCCCTTCACACAGTAGCCCTGTGATTGGGGAAATGTAGAGGAGAATTTTTTGTGCACAAGTCAGAATATGGCTCTCAGCCATAGCTAAGGAGCTAGCTCACGTTTTACTCACTGCAAGCCCTGTATATTCTACTAAGGCTCTGTAACTTAAGAAGCACTCTTGCTCAACCATTATCATCCAACCATCAAGACTTTACAGTTGGTTAACAGTTTTGATGGGGGATCTAGAGAACAATTCAGGTCAGTATTCCATAGCTCTATTCTGCAACACAAAGAGCGGTTAAAAAATATCAAACTTGTCTTTGTCAAAAGTAATCAATATGGCTCTGAATTTGTAAATGGAAAATTTGATTTAGTCACACTTTTGACCATAACCACAAACAAAAATTAGACTGGAATACGATGTGCTTAACTACTTTAATGCAAAATGACACCTTTAATGTAAGTTGACACTATGCCATATTACTGACTGCTTCAAGGATTCAAGCGCACCACTGTTTTTAGTGCAATACGTAAATTAGTTTGAAACAGGTTTGAGTGGACCTGTGTCTTTGGTGCATGATTAAACCATCTTAAGCAGAGTAGTTTGGAGACACTAGCTATCTACTATGTTAGGTGAATATACGTCTTTCAGGTGTAGTTATAACGTGCATTGTCCAGTCATAGTGTGACACTTCATTGAGAGTTTCCACTAGAAAATCAAAATACCCTCAGTCCAGCAGGATTTCCTCTTGCAAAGACACTCTCATTCTAAAGTGGTAAATACATTTACCTGGCTAGGACATACTTTTAAATAGTACAATAAAGCTAGTCATCTGTGGTACTAGTAATTACTAATGCAGAATTCAAAAGGTACTACCCAGTATTGTGCAACAATCTTTAGCCAGACTTGGTGGTCTGCTCAATTCTTTTGCAAGAAACTGATTGTATTTTTCAGGGACATCCTGGAGACTATTTGCTGGTAAACACAGCTGGGAGGGACAGCTTTTTTTTTTAAATAATAAACTTCATAAGTTATTGTTCAACTGACTAGTCAGGAAATGGGTCACAGGCAAGACTACAATCAGGTGGAGGCCTAGAACATAAGCTTTAAAAAAAAAAAAAAAAAAA